GGGCTCCACCACGGGGCTCGTGGGTGAGTGGACGCCCGGCGGGGGGACCCCGCTCCCAGTCTGTCCAACCCGGAGTTTTTCTTACAGACTTGAAATGATAATTTTTTCATTCCCCTCTCCCCTCCATGCCTGGGTCCCCTTCTCCTGTGAGAAAGCTCTCTTCTAGTTCCTAGGATCCATCTTTGATTTTGCTCTTTATTTACAAATGGGGTTTCTCGTAGGAAAGCCCTGTGACGCCAACGCTTCCGTTTCTGATTTATGCCACGAACGTTGTGGTCTCCAGGTGTAACCACTTCCCACACGTGACTCAAGTCCATCCTTCTTCGTGGCTGTATAGTGGTTTCGCTGCTGTGACTGTGCTGCTGTAACATGAATGTGCGTGGGAGCGTTTTTTCCTCTTCAATGCAAAATCTTTAGTGATTTTCCCCTTTCCCTCCCCGGCTGAGAGTGTGCTCTCACCCCAGTTTATGAGAACTTGGGCCTTGTGAGGCACCCCTGCCATCCCAGCACTCGGGAGGCTGAGGCAGGAGGATCGCCGTGAGATCCAGGCCAGCCTGGGCTACACGGTGAGTTCAAAGCCAGGCTGGACTGCATAGCGAGACCCTGCCCTAAACCAACCAACCAACCAACCAACGAGCTCAGCCAAGTGTTTCCACAGCATTCACGGGGAAGGAGATAGCAGGAGTCACGCCGGGGTGATTGCGTGTACACACGGGAGGAGAAACATTTTACATGCAGATGCATCCAACTACTTTCATATGCCAGTAATCATCTATGTGCAAATTGCCCCTTGATATGCAAATTGCCTTCTCCATGCCAATAGCCGCTTATGCAAATCACCCTTTCTAGGCGAACAGCTCTGTTATGCAAATGAGCCCTGTATGCAAATGAGCACTGTATGCAAATGAGCCCTGTATGCAAACGAGCCGCTTTAGCCAGGGTTCCCGGCGCCCGCAGATGCCCGCTCGTTCCTCACGGACACCGAGGGGCGACTTTTCTCCTCACGCCTCGCCCCAGTTCGGTGTTTCGTTGTCTTTAAGAGTGGAAGGGCCTCTGACGGGTGGCGGATGAGTCAGCTTTCCGGTCCTGCAGACACAATACTGAATACATCCATTTTCCTTTCATGATGTGCTTTTTTGCTATGCAAACGTGGGCGAAGGTGAGGAGTCGTCCTTCTCCGCCCAGCTCCGTGTCCGCGGCTTTTCCAGTCCAAGCCGTGAGCAGAAGCTGGGCTGGTCCCGGTCTCGTCCTTGGAAGCCCGATTCCTGCCGCAGATCGGGACAGCGTCGCCGGATCGCTGATCCCGCCGTGAGGCTGAGGCTAGGGGAGGTCCGGGCGGCTGGGACACCCTCAGGGGGTGGTCTGGTAGTCGGTCTACTAACCCAGATGGCGCCCGAGCGGCCTAGGGGTTGCGCACTGGGGCGTGCGTGTGATCCGTGGCCCAGGGGAGAGGGAACCTGGATTTCACCAGGCTGTGATACAAAATCGGCCAAGTGTTTCCTTCCAGAATTTTCCATTTCCTGTGTTCAGACCTTGGCTGGCCAAGCTCAGAAACCCAAACACCCCCAGATAATCAGCGTGGGGGGAAAAAACCACTTACCGTGGCCCAGAATCACTCAGGGACTGATTCGTTCCTGTTATCGACTTTACAATAAAGCAAGGTGGGGCAGTGCACGCCTGTCATCCCAGCGCTCTGGGAGGCTGAGGCAGGAGGGTTCCAAGTTAAAGCCCAGCTGGGGCAACTTAACCAGAGCTTGTCTCTAAATAAAATTTATAAATAGATCAAAAATATATAGTAATTAATTTTATTTTTTTAGAGGGCCAGGGAAACAGCTCAGTGTGAAAAAGTTCTTCGGTTTAATGCCCAGTGCTACATACCAAACAGTAACGAAATCGGTAAAACAGTAAACAGGTGTCTGTGTATACACATGTGTATATGTATAGGAGTAGTTGCTCAAATGGGACGGGAATGAAGGACAGGACAAGGGAAGGCAGGAAAAGTGAAATGTTTTTAAGAAAAGTGAATTGAAGGGGAAAGTGGAAACACAAGTTCTGTAAAAGGGGAGGGGACAGGAATGGGAAAGAAAAAGAATAAAGATGAATTATTACACCACGCACGGGTACGAATTCCCGATGACGACGGCATGTGGCAAACGTGTGCTAATCAAAAAATTAAAATACATAATTGCATCTTGGCCTTTTGGCTAAGATCAAGCGTAAAAAGTAAACAGGTCACGCAGACTGGACACGTGTCTGACACTTTGTAAGTTATTTAGCAGCAGAATGATCAAGGATTGCCAGCCCGTAACAGAGTCTGAAAAGAACTCTTATAAAGTAGGTTTTTATTAGTATGTGTCACGGAATACTACACAGCCTTGAAAAGGGATGAACTTGAGTCCCGTGTAGGAAGACGGATGCATACAGAACACAATGGGCAGTGTGATGAATCAGACACACGAGCTTAAAGGTCACACGGTTTCTCTCATAGGAGAAACCCCCAGTATAAATAAAGAGCAAGATCAATTATCCATAACAGGAAGAAAGGGGACTTTTTCCAAAAAAATAAGTCCTTAGCGATGTCCTCGTTTGGGGCCGAGCCCGACACGGACCACGGAAGAGCCCAGTGCATCCGGGTCCCAACGTCCGTCTCCGCCTCCCTCCCCCTGTGTGCTGCTTCTCTGTTTCCCTCTGCATCTCAACCTCCAAATTATCCTGAGATTTTTTTTTTTTTTTTTTTTTTTTTTTTGTATTGGACACAGCGTCTCCACCAGCATCTAGCATTCTTTTCCCCCTTTAAACGGGGAGTTTAGCCCGGGACCTTCACCCTGAGCTCCTCCCCCTCGGCCTCTTTTATTATTTTTTTTTCTTTGAGGCAGCGTCTCACCACGCTGCTACGAGGCTCAGGCTGGACTCCCACAGGAGACCCTCCTGCCTCAGCCTTCCAGAGCGCGGGGCTGCTCAGCCAGCCGCACGCGCCGGCTCACGGGGCGCTTGTCTCGCAGGGAAGTGGCACCAGGGCCTGAGCTGTGCATCCCGCGGCGACCACTGCCACCACCCGCTGAGCCACGGCTTCGACTACTTCTACGGGGTGCCC